GTGCCTTTTGAGTGTTGCTCCAGCTACCTTTGTCCGTGTATAGCAAGTAATAATCATCTTATGACTGAGAATGGTTTGTGTTGTATGAAAGGAAATAAGAGAATGACTGCACACCCTTTTGTTTTGTTTGTTGGAGATTTTTTTTTTTTCTGTCCATATCATATGCAGTTAATATATATATATCATGATTTGGCTTTTTGATAGTCCCCTTTTAATAAGTATTGACATGGGCTCTAATAATCATATTCAGGGAGCAGAGAGACAACTCTTTGTTTTGTGACTAAATCAGCTGAATTGGTTACTTGAAGGAAGATAAGATAAATTGGTCGCTATTCTTGGATTTCTTTGAAAACATTAGTCATCTACCTAATGTGCCAAAGAAGCCTTAATCATACTGGCTGCATTTCGTTTTCCTCAAGAACTTAGTGAAATGTTCATAAGTGATGCCTCTGCAAGAAAATGTCTAAACAGTCAAATTCGCCAAACTGTAACATTCAGGGCCATTATAGTTAATTCTTCATGTAGCTACCATATTTACGTGTCCACTTTTGTTGTTTTTTTTTTTTTAAATCATAGATCCCATGTTCTAGGTTTCACGTGTAATAGTGCTTCAATGTCGCTGTCTAATTTGTGAGGTATGTAGCCAATTCTTTTGTACATGATGTATTGTATATGGTAGCACTGGTCCTGTTCATGTGAGGGTTTTTTTTGTTTCAAATTGTACTGTATCTTGGAGTTGGGTTGCTACAATATCTCAAGGGGATTTCATTTGGTTGATGGTGCTTGTACCGGTCTGAGCTTATGAAGCATGAGATGTATTCTCACGGTTCTTTGCAAATTGTAGATCTTGTTTGTCAGAATTGTACTCTTGTATATGGTGGAATTGGTGGCAAAAGTGTCTGATTTTGTAGTTGTATAGGATAGCATAAGTAGGGTGCCAACCATAGGAAGTTAACTGTAACATTCTCAAGGATTTGATCTGGCATATTTCTTCACGAGCTTGAAGGTCCCGCTTTCCAACCTTACAATGTAATCTAAAAATTTCTTTGATTTTTCTAGTTCTTGGAATGTAAATGTTTCGCACTAGATGGGGTTGGGACCGGTGGTCTCTCTTCTTATTGGAGTCGTACTCTTTTTGCTGTATCTGTTCCATGCTTTTCTAATCTCGTGCGTCTGTTCGTCTAGAGTTGATTTATGCATAGAAGCGTTTTTTTTTTTTTTTTTTGGTTTAGGAAAATAAGAAGTGAGATATGGAGATAGTAACTGTGTTTGTTATTCTCCTGCCGGATAAACTTACAAGTTGCAGGACCATAATCTTTTCTCCCACTTCCATTTGTCATTGGAGACGTAGCTCTGTTGTTATAGCCTGCTAAGTTCTCTGCGGCAACTGGAGTATGTTACCTTAGTTTGCCATCAAATGTCACCCCTTCTATCCCCGCTTGTGTATGTATTTTTGCAGCCAGTAGTTCCATCCTAAATCCTTGATGCTCTAACTTGCAATCCTTGAAAACCAAGATGACAGAGATAAGACGAATGAGATTATTAGTAGTATTTGGCCATTACTTTCCTGGTGTTTGGTCCAGAACTCGTGGATGCTAGCTGGGAACACGATTGTCTCCGATTATATGAGAGGGAGATATACCCGTCATTTGTGGGGCGGGCGATTTATACCCTTGTGGACATGGTAATATGAAGTATGCGGTCGACGACTCCTGCATTTCGTTTGCTGCCTGCCTGCCTGCTCATGAAACGGTCCTATTAATTGAATAGGTGGCATCACCCTCGACGGTTAATTACGCATTCATACTTTGCGCGTATGTAAAAATTATTAGTGCCAATCATGGTGAGGACCGCTGTGATGTGCATCTTGCACTTACCTATTGATATTGTTGGTATCAATAGGTAAGTGTTTGGATTGCATGTTTCTAGATTTTTTGTAGAAAAATTACTGTAGTGATTTGATATATGTGAAGTAAAAAGGTGATTAATTAGAAAATGTGTTCACGGGAAACGTAGAGAAAATTGCTGTCCAAACAAGGCCTAATAATTAGCTAGGAAAACCTCCATTTTACTTGAGGTTTCTTTTTAATTGCCGTTCAAAATTCCTCTTTTCCCTCAGATTGCCCCCCCTAAGAAATCTACAATACAAAATTGTAACATAACGAAGTATGTGGGATTGGACAACATGGTCAAGCATTTGGGAATCGCTGGCTATGATATTTTTCACAATTAATTTTTTTTTTTTAAAAAAAAGTAAAGGAAATTTACTATTGCATCTTCATATATTAATATTATGCTTGATCATTGATGTGATGTTTGGCTTACCATTCATTCAAAAACACTAGCTCAGGGTCTTGGATCCATCACTCGCGAATAATTGGCATGGTCTAGTTTGATTACGGGCTAGGCGCTCTGTGTCCTCCTTTTAAGTATGATTATCGGCCAGGAGCTTGGTAAGGTGAAACGAGGTTTCAGCACCAATAGTACATCAATTTTACTGCAATCTCTACCTAAAAATTTTCATCATACATTGGTTTCTACAAAATTGGTGGACCGCAACAACTTAATGATAACTCATGGTTCCATAATAAAACCATTGCTGAAAATGTGCAGGGCCTTTCAGGGGCACCGTCAAATTCAAGGACTCGGGAAAACTTAGCCCCGAAATCCGCGTTACTGGAGACATCCATTCCCCCATTTCCCCATCCTGGCTGACATTATAAGTACCCCTCCATTCACCACAATCTGCTTCATTGCAGTGCTTCTCTGTTGCATCAAGAGAAATTGCTGCATACTTTAAAGAGTAAGAGAGAAAAAAAAAAAGAAAAAAGAAAAAAAACTACGAGAAGCTTTGTGCAACAATGGCTCGTCAAATTGTTGTCCTTGCTCTTATCTTCTTTGCCATTGTTGGCATGGCTTCTGCAACCGCCCAAGCTCCAGCTGCTAGTTCCGAGTCAGAAGCAGGTATGGGCCCGGCGCCCGATAACCACGACATTGGCCTCGTTGGTGGTTCTAGTGCTGACTACGGCGCTGCACCTATTGGTGGACCTGTGACACCAGGAACTTTCTCCCCTGGCAGCCCTGCTGAAGCACCAAATGGCAGCGGTGCAACCATTCTTGAAGCATCTGCCGTTGCCGGTCTCGTCGTCTCCGCCATCGCGGGTTCATTTTTCTTCTAAATCCTAGTCCACTCAGATGTGTGACAATTACTTGTATTACTCGTCCTTGTGATCATTGAGCCTGTATTTTCTGTAAAATTGAAGTACATTGAGGCACGCCAGAAAATGCAGAACAATTATTGGACGACAGAGTTTTACTGTTTTTCTGGTGTTTAAGGCTCCCTTTTGTTTGTTTCTTCTTTCTTTCCTTTTTCCCCCGGGTCCTCCTTCAATACTCGAAGATTTTCTACTTCCCAATTTTTGTGTATTAACCAACAATACTAGAAGAGTTAATAAAGAGCGTCTGTTTACCACAATTGTGAACCTGCCGCAATGCCACCATTGCTACTTTTGTTGTTGAGACATCCGGAAAATAATAATATTCAAATGAAATTTTATGAATGGTGGTGAGAGCGTAGAAAAATCAAGAACACAAATACTCTTTTCCCAGTGGATGATTTGATCACATTTCAGCGCTGGAGGGGGCAACGAACGAACTCCTATTTCATATCACTTGCGGCTTTTGCCCTTTTCGGGGTATAAACCATGGTGCGGGGGTTCGTAAGTAAGGGCCAATGTCTCTTTAAAAATCACACTATTCAGGTGAAGGCGTGACCCGAAGCACAGACAATAACCCACGCCTCTTCTTAAGACTTACAATGTGTTTGAAAATGTGTTTGAAAGACGTGATATTTCCAATACAATGGTCCAGCTATCTCCGCTTATCGTCTGATTTCCAAAGGACTGTGTACATCATTAATTGAAGCAGAAGAAAAAGCTTATAGAAAATTTTTGCAAATGACTTTTTTTTTCAGAAGTTGGATTAGCGTAGAAATAAAAATAAAATAAAAAGGTTGTGAAAGTTATGAGAAAATTCTGACATTCAAAAAAGTGTCGGCCCTGTAAGAATTAACCCGGACACCCCCTGTGTCTCGACAAAAAAAAAAAAAAAAAAAGTGTCCACACTCTTAATAGGACACCTCATAACTTAAATAAGTGGACAACCACCTTTTAAGCCTCGTTTGAAGTTGCGGTGGTTTATTATAAAAAAAAAAAAAACACTTCTAACATCATAAGTATTTTTAACAAGAGTGTTTTTAAATTATCAAAAGTTGGGCTATTTAAATTAGAAAAAATTAATTCCTAAACACCCTACAAGTACTTTTAATACTTAAAAACGCTGCCCTTTTTTTTTTGTGTGTAAACACACCGTAGCCCCCAAACAGGACCTTACTCTTAAGAACATCAAAGGAATGCGTTATATATAAATATAATTTGGGAACACGAAGAATTAAGTGAATAACCCTTTCCATAAGCATTTTTCATGTCAATTTATATGATACACTCCATATCCAAATTGAGTTCAACTTAGTAAAAGTTGATGCAAAATTGACTCATGAATCAATCAAATTAACACGAACAAATGTCAGTCTTTGTTATTATCTTCATAAGTTTGAATTGGATTTGATCACACAATAAAATAAATAAAAATTCATCTATGCAGTTTGATTAGTAAGTCAAACACTATACAAGAACCTTTTTTTTTTTTTTTTTAGTGTAACACTATACAAGAATTTGATAGCAGTTTGATTAGATAAAAATCATCTGTGCTTATTAGATTCAATGGAGCTTAAATAATGCTTAAACATAATTGTAAAATAATTATTAAAGTCAAATTAAAATCAGAATAAAAAAAGAGTCAAATTAAACCTGAACCCAACAAAAAGTTCGGTTCGATTCGGTTTGTTCTACGGTCATACCTTGATGTTAACCCGACCACCGGTTCGGTCCAAAGCGAAGGAAGAAAGAAAAGAAGCGGGAGCATAATATAAGGGAGGGTTTTAGCACAAATGGAAACGAGTTGCCGAGTTAGGGCAAAGCCAAACTTCTGAAAGCTTCCGGAGTGGGACTGCAAGCAGTACTCAATACTCATAGAACACTCATTTTCACTTGTATTCTCTCTCTTTTTCGGAATCTCTGGTGGTCTTTCAGATCGGATCCCCGATAAATGGCGTTGGCGTTCGATGAGTTTGGTCGGCCGTTCATTATAATTAAAGAGCAAGAGTCGAAGACTCGATTGCGAGGCCTTGATGCTCAGAAAGCTAACATTGCTGCCGGAAAGGCCGTCGCTCGTATTCTCCGCACCTCACTTGGCCCTAAAGGCATGGATAAGATGCTTCAGAGCCCCGACGGCGACATCACTATCAGTAATCTACTAATCTCTTCTTACTCTTCCCTTCCTCTACGTTATCAAATTGTAGAATTATGTTGGTTTTGTGAGGTTTATTAGTGAGTTGTGACTGTTAAAGTATCTGTGTGATAAAGCTCGGGTTTTTGGAGCTTCATTGCTGGATTTAAAAATTTTTTATTTAATTTTAATTAGTAATTGTAATTAGTAGATTTCTAGGTAAAGTCTGATAAAAGGTTGCTACTTGGACTTGTGTAGTGGTATTTGAGAGTGGAACGCACCTAATTTAGGTGAAAGTGGATGATGGTCTTTACTGAACGTTACAAAAAATAAATAAATCCTTGATTAGATTGGCAAATTGACAAGTGTAGGAAAATTTGCTGGAGATGTAAGATGATTAAAATTTGGATGACGAGCTTGCAGTTTTTTTTATAATTCCATCCCTACATTGTGCTGGTAGTTGATTTACTGCACTAAATAGGTGCTTGTTCTTTCCTTTTTTGTCCCCCCCTCTCTGTTATCTCATTTGTTGTGACTATGTAATCAAGTTTGGAAGTGTCTGTGATCCAGAAGAGTTTGATTAACATTTGAATCGCGGTGTTTGAACTTTTGGTGTTTAGCTGTTTGAAAGAAGATGTCATTAGGTTATCTGGAATTGAATATACTTGTTTTATGTTTGAAATTTAGGACTGATGGAGAATGCATGCTGCCTGTGGTGTCTGTGTCGACTTTTTCTTGTACCCTTTTTAGAATTGATATGCCACCTTTCCGGTTGTCATACTTGGATGCATGCCACATTTTTCATAGAGCATATGCTGTTCTCGGTGATGTGGATTAAAAAAAATAAGGAATGAACAAAAATTAAATGGAAGAAAAGGAAGAGTTGTCATCTATCTTAACTTTCTTTTCTGTTCTGAGGTTTTCTAATACTTGACACCATGATTTGCAGCAAATGATGGTGCAACAATCTTGGAGCAGATGGATGTCGACAATCAAATTGCAAAGCTGATGGTTGAATTATCTCGTAGTCAAGATTATGAAATTGGTGATGGAACAACTGGTGTTGTTGTCATGGCTGGTGCTCTCCTTGAACAAGCTGAGCGGTTACTTGAACGCGGTATTCATCCTATCCGGATAGCAGAAGGATATGAAATGGCTTCAAGGATAGCTTATGAACATTTGGAACGTATAGCACAGAAGTTTGAGTTCGATGCCACAAACACAGAGCCTTTGATTCAGACTTGTATGACTACTTTATCTTCCAAGATGTAAGTACCAGGTTACTTCAATCTTTGATGTATTTTTGCATGTCTTCAAATGGTTGTTCTGTATGGTAATTGGCATTATAGGATATTTGTAATGATTAGTTTTAATCCAATGAGAAAAGTAAGATAGGCTGTGTATCGTTATATTGCTCTGGTATGTCATTTTGTTAAAGGACTGACGTACTTCCTGCTGTTGTGGATGATAGTCAGTTTCCTGCATGGAAGTTAAGCTTTCTGGTGATTGGTTAAGATGACCTTGCTACACATTTTTGTCTGTTTGGCATCATAGGTAGATGTTGCTGTTATAAGTTACAGATACCAAACTTGGTTATATATTGCTGGATATCTTTATAATTTTGGATAAGAAATCATCGAAGTTCTCTCCTCTCTCTCTCTCTCTGTGTCTCTGTTAACAAATGAACTTGAGTAGAGAGAATGAAAGTGGTCAGATGCACAGTTCTTAATTGAAAAGTATGACCTGTTTGCTTGCTTTTAAGTCATTTTTAAAGTTCCATAAACCTCTTAAGTTGTTTCATCTTCTGAATTTTAGTGCCTTTAAAATTTTACTGCAGTGTGAATAGATGCAAACGCAGTTTGGCTGAGATTGCTGTCAAAGCAGTTCTGGCAGTTGCAGATCTAGAGAGGAGGGATGTGAACCTGGATCTGATCAAGGTAGAAGGAAAAGTAGGTGGAAAGCTGGAGGATACTGAGCTAATATATGGAATCATTGTTGACAAAGACATGAGTCACCCGCAGATGCCCAAGGAGATACAAGATGCAAAAATTGCTATTTTGACTTGCCCCTTTGAGCCACCTAAGCCAAAGACCAAGCATAAGGTTGATATTGACACTGTGGAAAAATTCCAAACATTGCGTCAACAAGAGCAGAAGTACTTTGACGACATGGTACAGAAGTGCAAGGTAAGATTGCATGAAGGGCTACAAGTGTGGAGAGGAATCATAGAAGTAACCTAGTCTGGCCCCTGTTTTAGTCCAAAATGCAAATTGGGAAAAAGAGATGGATACTTAATGTGTGTATCCAGTTTTGCTTTACTTTTATGAGCAAAAAGAGGAATGGAAACACCTAAGTTTTTCTTATGACTTTATGGTTCCCTTTCCTCCTCATATATTGAGAGATATTTTTGTACTAGTGAGGAATGCTGCAAACTTCTTCCCCTCCCGGTTGGTTTTAGAATTTCTAAACAATTGATACATGTAATTGAATTATAGAAATCATTATTCTAATTTCTAGAAGGCTCAGTTTTTTGGATGTTGAGTAGCGTCATAAATTTTTTTTTTTTTAAACTAATCTCAACATAACCTGAGTTTCAGGATGTTGGTGCTACCTTGGTAATCTGTCAATGGGGTTTTGATGATGAAGCAAATCACTTGTTAATGCACAGAAACCTGCCTGCTGTACGTTGGGTTGGTGGTGTTGAGTTAGAGCTGATAGCGATTGCCACAGGTTTTTGTTTTAGTTGCCTCTCAGAGTATTACTTTTTTGCCTGCTGTTTCTGCATGGTCATGTTAAATCTATATGTTTATCTTGCTCTATTGGTTGCTTAGGTGGAAGAATTGTGCCAAGGTTTCAAGAGTTGACACCAGAAAAGCTAGGCAGAGTATTTCCCATTTCCTTCTAGTTGCTCTTCGTATATTATACAGATAAATGTTTCCATCCCTGCAATTATATTTGCAAATGATATTTCTTGTGGTCAGATTATGTAGGTTAGGGCACTACTTCTTTGACTGCTATAAGCAGTGATTCTGTTCGTGAGTCTGCCATAACATCATCAATATTTCTGCAAATGACAACTTTGTCATTATTAACAACAAAGAACTGGAGAGCCCTAATAAGATTTTTAAAGCTTGTATGTATTCAAATTTAGTCCTATTATTAATTGAGCAAACAAGTGTCTTGGACACTTTTAACCATACTGGGGCAGATTTTCCATTATTTTTAGGTAATTTCCGCGTAGATCTCAATAATGATGAGAATGTTGGTTAATTATGTTATATTTTAAAAGTCATTTGACTTTAGATGTGCATTGTTACCGAGTCTCTAATATCCTCCCCTTCTCTTCTTTAAGTTTTATTTTTATCTCTGCTGCAATTCAAATAAAGTTCATTGCTCGAATTTATTATAGGTTAAACTTAGAATCAAGCTATATTAAAGGTAATTAAAAACTTAGTTCTCCTTATGTTGAAATTGTGTGTACATAAAGTTCGTGAGATGGCAAGTTTGGTGCACCTCATGAGAAATAAGACATTGAGCTTATCTTTATTGCCCGGAGACATTGTTATGATCAAACTTTTATCGTTTATTTAGGGTTTTTGATTTCTTCTGCAAATGTGTTTGATTCAATGCTTGCTTTGCATATCCAGGCGGGTTTGGTTCGTGAAAAAGCATTTGGTACCACGAAAGATCGCATGATTTACATTGAGCATTGTGCAAATTCAAGAGCTGTTACAATTTTCATTCGTGGTGGTAGGTTGCTCCCTCCCTCCAGACTCCCGCTCTTGCTTATTTTATTGCAGCATGGTTCACATAAACAAATTAAATGTCAGTGTATGCTAAATAGAGTTCACAATTTTTAACTAAGTTTTCTGTTGAAAGTGCAAATCATCACAACCAAATTAACATGCATTTTTTGCTTTATTATTATATTGCTTTAGGTAACAAGATGATGATAGAGGAGACAAAGCGTAGCATCCATGATGCTTTATGTGTAGCTAGAAATCTTATCCGCAACAACTCTATAGTATATGGTGGTGGTGCTGCTGAGATTTCTTGCTCAATTGCTGTGGAGGCAGCTGCTGATAAGTATCCTGGAGTTGAGCAGGTAAGGTGCTTTTTGTGTTGTTTTGACTATTTAAGTGGCCAATATGATACTAAGGTTTTTCTACTTCTGCAGTATGCCATTCGGGCATTTGCTGATGCTCTGGATTCTGTCCCCATGGCACTTGCTGAGAACAGTGGGCTCCAACCCATCGAGACTCTATCTGCTGTAAAATCGCAGCAAATTAAGGTAAGCTGGAGTTGAGTTACACATAATTTCTTGCTCGAGTTTGGCTTCTTTGATTTAGTTCGAGTGAAATGATTTTGTTTTGTTGCCATATTTGTATGCAGGAGAATAACCCCTGGTGTGGGATAGACTGCAATGATGTTGGTACAAATGACATGCGTGAGCAAAATGTATTTGAAACTTTAATCGGGAAGCAGCAGCAGATGTTGCTTGCAACTCAAGTTGTTAAGATGATCCTTAAGATTGATGATGTCATCTCTCCATCTGATTATTGATTTTGAGTTACAAGAGACTGTTTGTTTGTCTGCAAGAGTGCTGACAACTTCAACGAGTGATCTCCTTTGGTTGGATGAATAGCATTTATGTTTTGACATATTTGCTTTATAATTGTTAGACTTTATGTGATTTATGGATTTGTAATCCTTCGGAAGGTGCATGATTCTCTTCATGATCGTTAGACTAGTATTGACACCAATACTTAGCTGAGAATATCCAAGACGGTTTTTGTTTGTAAACTAAAATGGTGCCTATTGTTTTCTGTGACTGGTTACATGATGCCCCTTGTAATCTGAAGTTGCAGAACCTATGCATCTTGCACTTAGATCCTTGGAATGTCTCCTCAAAAAAAAGAAAAAAAAAAACTTGGAATGTATGTGGGACTAGCGGGTCTGTAGTGCCAAAAAATAGCTAGCATGTTTGTGTAGACAACCCAGGGATTTCACCCTATATTGATCTTCTTGGCCATTGTCTGCTGCTTCATTCTATCTCAGGAAAGTCAATAGAAACGATGATTAGTCTTCCATATGGTGACATAATGGCACTAAAAGAGTTTATCATCTGATGTGGTAAGTTGTAATCGTTGGCTATCTCAAATTTCGTAGAGTTTAGGCAATCAAGGCCAGTTTGAACAGCGAATCAATTTAAGCTGCCACATTGAGTGTTTGATTTTTACGAGGCACAGCTTCAGACAACCGTAGTTGCACCTTGAAAAATTCTGTGGCTTGACAAAAAATAGCAGAGAATATACTGCTCTTGAGTTGCGGGGAACTTCGGGCAGGGAATGCAGCAGGTCCCAATAACGACTTTAAGGTAACGGGAAATGTTGTGTCATCCTCGAGACAACCCTTAGAAAGGGAGTTAGGATTAGTGTCTCGTAGGACTGAAATTTAGTGCTTTAGTACAACGTTGGGCAAAAACAAAAAATGTAAGATTCAAATCCTGTGGTGTATATCATGTTTTAACGCTGTGCATGAGAATAAAAAAAATGTACTAATATATTTGCATTGTATTGAAAATGATTTACATTCTGAACCAATGAATTTATATTCTGTTGAATTTAGCAAAACCGTTACTAGAGGGTTGCGCACTCGCACGGTAACCGTCCATGCCCGAGGTTTCAAAAAAGAAGAAAAAGAGGAGGGTTCTTGGTTCTGACAACCAAGGGATAGGTTGAAGTGTTATTGTAACTCTGCTTTCTGCAAACAACATCTGGGCATTCATATCGATGCAGCTTTTTTCATTTCAAAGGATAGGTTGAATTTATTGTTGTTGTCAATTCTGGCAACTGAACATGGTTAATCGATTTGTCGGCCTCAAGAGCAACCTATCCATTGAGTATTGAGTAGGCCTCCCATGTTTGGGAAGCTATCCTGAAGTATTAGATTAATATGTTTTATGTACTAACACTAAATTTTTTTTTACACGAACAATCTTGGATGTATGTCACATGTGCCTAATTTTAATTTTAAATTTAAATTTATGCTATATGGCATGATCTAAAACTATTTGTGTAAAAAAATCTTCCCAATGACAGTGTATGAAAAAAGTTATCCTAAAGTATTTAGGCCTAATTTGTGTACAAGTAACACTTTAGATTAAAACTTGGGTTAATTAAAAAAAACTCCTCTTAAGATATATCTATTAATGCACATTGCCTTTTAATGTTAATTTTTTCTCACTTTATCCCCTAAACCATTAGTTGGTTCTAATGTTGTGTAATGGTAGTGTCAAAAATATATTTATACCCTTAATAGTTAAATGCAACAATTTACCTAGCTTATTTTACACTTTATTCCCTAACATTATTTTTTCCCAATTTGTCTGTTTGTCATTGAAATAGTTAGTCAACTCAATAGTTTATAATGCTCAGGAGAAATAATGTCTAAAAAATAATATCCTTAGCATAGTAATGAAAAAATAATATATGTATATATATGGTCCTAATTAAATTTCATCCCCTAATTATAATTTTTTTAGATTGGGAGAAATATCTTGCTAATTTCACCAATAATGGCAAAAAATAACAGAAAATATTCTTGAAAAATTAATATGTAAAATTAATATTAAAAGTCTAAAAATGCTCGAATATTTTCAATTTCTCTTTGTGAACGTGCGTATGGTTGCACTTTTCCTTTAATAGCTAGATATTTTTTTTATATGGGAATATACATTTTTTTGTTGATAATACTTAAAAAAGAGAGAAATATGATTGATTTGGGTTTCACAGTTTTTGGGTCGATTTTTTTAATATAGCATGATTAGATGCTATTAAAAATTGTTTGGATTACTAAATTTTTCTAAAAAAAGATCTTTTTCTCACATCATAATTATATTTCTCAATGATCTTTTTAATTTTTTCTACCATTTTTTATTTCATAAACATCAAATCACAAAAAGTATTTTTTTAAAAAAAAATTCAAATAATCTTTAATCCAAACAAACCCAATCTATAGACTTTTAATATATTTTTATAGTTTATTTTTCACTAATAATATTTGTTTTTTCCCCGTATCATGTAACACGAGTGCGATAAAGTGCAAAATTGGTTGAACCTTGAGGATAGTTAAAAACTTTTGTAGGTTTGTAGAGCTTACATGAACACAAGATGTCAGTCATACTCTGAAATTCGATTTAGTCTACAAACGATTGACATTTGAAGGAGAAAAAGAAGAATGATTAGACCAAGTAAACCTATCAACTTTTAAAATATTCGTATTATGGGGACTAGTGACATGATACAATTGGCTTCACTGAATTATATACGCTACTCATCAGCCCCTCGAATTCTTTATCTGGGAGCGGAGCCGAGGCTGTGAGACCAAATGATGAAAAAGGTGATAATTATTACCATTAGTTTACATCCACCAAAATCACAAGTAAAAGACACTTGGCGTCCACTTATTGTCGCCTGATATATGATTAGAAGTAATTGCAGCAACGATCCTTGAGTTTTGGAAATTGGAAATGTCGTTGGATCAGCAGCGTGAGCCTTTCCTGCAGATTAATGAGCCAGCTCCAGAAGTGAGGGAGGCAACCAGGGAAGATGGTCTGGCGCCCAAGCTGTATGCCTTCGAGTAGCTAGAAGAGGCTCCCGCCCCGGACGTAGTGAAGAAGGCACCGTTCAGCATCAAGTCCCCTTCAGACCTCCAGTTCCAGCTCTTCCATTCACTCTCTGGTGCAACCTCGTGTTTCGTAACCTTTACCAATTCAGGCAACAATAGAACAATTAACATCCACTCAGGCTATAATTGGTTGTTGCAAACGTAAAAAGAATTTAATGCTACTTTTAATGCTTTAAATGTCAATCCCACTTCTTAAAGAGGTGTTTTGATTAATGTGGTCAATCCCACTTTTAATGCTACTTTTATGATGTGATCCAAAAGCGAGAAACAAATGAAGAACAGGGGGAAAAATAAATTCTAAAAAGAGTAAGAGTTAAGGATAGCAATGGATTATCACCTCTTTGTTGAAAATATCATTTGGTGCAAGAAATCGGTTGCCTTGGCTATTGATGGTGGGAGCAGCACTGCCACCAATTGCATACATTTCCCAATGGGTGTAGTCATTGTTCACCACATGGAAGTATCCGTGTCTACATCTGCAACAAAATATTGAGTTAGAGCACATCAAAGATCATCCTCGGAAGGATGACCCCTTCAAATTCAATTGATTATTGAGGTTCTGCATCTGGCTACTGTTTTTACCTAGGCATCCTCTGTACTAACCCTTCACCAAAATGGTTGAAAGCTATAGTGACTTGCATATTCTTGTCCTGTAAGTATGTGTCACTATGGCCTAAAAGCATAACCTTGTTGTGATGCGTCAGGTAGTTGTTAGAAATGGTGATGGCTGTAGATCCATGGATTGCATCAATCAGACCATCACGGCAGTTGGACAAAGAGCAATGATCCACCCAAACATGGCTTCCACCAAAGATGGAAACTCCATCGCCATCTGAGAGCGTTCTCCATCCGAAATGTTCAGGCGAGTCTCTCACATACGCATTTCCACCTTGCTTGCAATCATGGATGTTTAGGCCATGAACGATGATATTAGTTACATATTGTATAGTAATGCATGGCCCTCCTGCAATGTGGACGTTAGCACCTCTACCATCAATCGTCTTGAATGAGTTCATTATCAGCTCTTCCTTGAGCTGGATCACCATATCACGAGCAAATATAATCCATAAAGGTTCATCTTGTATGACACCATATCTAAGAGTTCCAGGCTTAGGATTCACAGGATGATCTCCATTGTCCGTAACCACGTAGATTTCACCATCTCTTCCACCAACAGCATGCTTACCAAATCCAATAGCGCAATCAGCTAAGCTTTGGCGGTTCTTCTCCCAATTGGGGTCGCACCTCCAGCAATCATCAATAGGGTTGCCAGTGCCACAAGAAAGGAAGGCCAGATTTCTTCTCGATGCATTTATTTTCCTGCAAAAATTATTCATCCAAGAAGTAATGACATGACTGGTACTTGTGCTCTGTGAGTTGTGATCAATTATGGATGCTACAATATGCAATTAGTACTTCTACTTCATAGTGAAGGAACAAAGTAGTGAGCGCGAAATGTTGGAATGATATTACCACAATTCAAGGATGAAGAACTAGTTAGTATGAATTGTACATACTCGTTTACTTCTTGCACTACTGATTCGGGGTCTGGCACTGGTGAAGACAATGTGTTAGTTGAGGCCAATAACAGAAGCAGGAAAAACAGAATGGAATGTGGCATTGCAGCTGTCTGCTCTTCGACCTGGCTGGAAATGTGAGGTCCGGGTAGAGGAGAGACAACGGAAAGGTAGAAAATGGTACGTGTGAAGCTGAAAAAGGTTCAGGTTTATATACAGTATGAGGGTTGGACATAAAATTGATTGAAGAAAACAATGAGGGCCTACATGCTCCAGTTCTTCTAATTCTGTACCTTCACAATGTGGTTCTGTTACCAAGTCCTTTACACTTATTAATAGAGCCAGTACTAGTATAGTAGTATAAATTTCCCCCCACTAACACAAATTTAAAGTTAAGGTCCATGCATGTGACTTGATATTGCTCTCAACGTAAGAGCTAGGCCCCCTCAAGCTTTTTTGCTTATCAGTCTCACATGGAGTATATTAAAGTTTCTCACATTTAGTCGTGGGGTTTGCTGAGGAAGACTAGTACTGCTGAGCAGTGAGTACTGACCAGAAAAGAAAGGCAAGCACATTTGATGCACTTTTTTGTTCTTTCAGTTGTACTTGGGCCTTGCGTGGCCATCGAAGTAGTTTAATTCTCTGCTTTTGTTCTCAATATAAACAGTGACAAGGCCGCGAGGCACCAAGGGGTCATCATTCAATCATCATTTGTCGCTATAC